GAGGGATTTGGGGATTTTAAGGAATTTGGGGATTTTACAGAAATTTGGAGGTTTTAGAAAGAACTGGAAATTTTAGAGGAATGTTGCGATTTTAAGGGATTTAGATATTTGAGAGGAATTTAGGGATTTTAGAGGAGTTTTAAAGATATTATCTGAGATTTTACAGGAATTTTGAGATTTTAGAGGAATTTAGGGATTTTAAAGGAATTTTAGAGATATTATTTAAGATTTTAGAGGAATTTGCAGATCTTACAGGAATTTGGAGATTTTAGAGGAATTTAGGGATTTAAAAGGAATTTTAGAAATTTTATTATGGATTATAGAGGAATTTGCAGATTTTACAGGAATGTGGATATTTTAGAGGAATTTAAGAGATTTTAAAGGAATTTTAGAGATTTTATTAGTGATTATAGAGAAATTTGCAGATCTTACAGGAATTTGGAGATTTTAGAGGAATTTCGATTTTTTTAGAGGAATTTCGAGATTTTATGGAATTCAGAGATTTTTATTAGAGATTTTAGAGAAATTTGGAGATTTGGATTTGGGAGCGATTACAGAGCCCTTGTTGGAGATAGTTGGATAAACAGTCAGATATTTGCATTACATTATATTTGCATTATATTTAATTATATTTGGACTATATTTATATTCTATTATGTTTATATTCTATTATATTTATATCAGATCAACATCCACATTTCTTTAATAATTCAGAGCAGGAGCTCTGTAAACCCACACTTTCCAACTTTAAACTGTTAAAGACTTTTTGTCCACCGCGGTTGGATATCGATATTAACTCAATTTGCATATCTTTTAATAAATTAACGCGGCCACGCCCCCCTCCGCTCAGGCATCGCCGCGGGCAGCCCCGCCGCAGCGAAAGCCCCCGCGGGAGCCCCGCCCCCCCTCCCCGCGCGTCGCTATGGCGACGTTTCCCGCCAGCGCCCGGCCACGCCCCCAGCGATGACGCCACGCGGGTGTGAACCAATGGCGGGGTCAGGGCTCGCCCGCCAGGCTGATGGTGGCCAATGAGACGCTCTCGGTGGAGAGGCTCCGCCCCTTCTCGTAGATCAGGTACACCAGGGGGGCGGGGCCTTCCTCCTCGGGGGGCGGGGCCGCCAGCACCGAGTACCCGCTCGGCCCCTCCCACACGCGCAGGCCACGCCCCCACCACGTGGTGCCGTTGTCGAAGCTCCAGCGCAGCGTCATGTTCACGCCTGGGGGCGGGGCCTGGTTGGACACGCCCCCA